CATAATCAGCCAGTGGATTCGAACTCAAACAAAATGCATGTATAATATTTTATGATATTCGGTCAGGGGCCTTACTTTCGAAAAGATAAATATCTCCGAAACGGATATAATAATGTAAGGACAGACAGTTCCGAACCACCACACCTCAGCAACTGTTCATGCTTTATAAAGCTTAGAGCAGACCTTCTTTGGATTACTGTTCTCATGTATGGAGCTCCCCCCTTAAAGATACCCTGAAGCTGCTGAATTCCATCTAGAAAATAGCCATCCACCTGATTGGAGACGCGAACATCACTTGAAACCTTGATAGTCTCGAACATCGAAGAGAGGTTGGTGATTTGTGTCTCTTCTATAGATAATTTCATGGGAAGTGTTCAAGTGACTTGGCACATTTTATTCCACCAAGAGCAGTACATATCAGAAATACGAGACAAATTGATGCTGCTCAATGTTTTGAGGTTCAACTCAGTACACCTCGAAATTCACTGTTTAAGAACTCTTCCATTTAGAGAACTGTGATTATGTGAAATAAACATTATGAGAACAACAATGAGGTGCAACGACTTTTTTAGTAGTAAATCTCTTACCCAAAAAATAACAAACCGGAAAATATCTACAACTGGCGAAAAAATAGAATGGCTAAAAATACAGCAAATAAAGTACATAAAAAATGAACCTAAAAAGATTTTTGTAAAATATACCACTCAGGAGGAAGGTTTTTTTTATGAGGTTGACCTAAGCAAAAAATCTAAAGGGCGACCATCAAAGAACACAGTCAATGACCTGGACCTTCTTTATCCAACTGGTAGAGCAATAACTAAGGAGAAGAAGAAAGACTTGCTAGATTTGCTAAAGTTTATTCCACCAGAGTTCCATGATTTTTATGAAGGGCTAAGGGATAGTTCTGAGACAGTTGACAATGATTTGGCTGAAGAAGCTGCTGAACAGGAATAAATATGAAATGTTAGAGTATTATTAGTCATTATGTTTCGTTCTGTTGGGGCCTAACCCACATGTTATTTCTTATAAAATACATTTTTTGTAACAGCAAAGGTGCCTATTATTCTAAAGCACTTAATACTAATATCAAAACATAGGAGAACTTTCTCTAAGAAATCGTGAAATAATTCTCTTGACCTTTCATCAAAAGGTGCATTTTATAATTTGGTTTCGACCTTACCCCAACCTAACAAAAAACTGCGGTATTGTGGCTTAGTCACCTTTACCTCTGAGCCCCTCATATATTTGTTTAAATAAAAGCTTAATATTCAGACGTGGATTTTTTTATTATTTTTCCCTAATTCATACACACAAATCACACTGAAAAACATTTTTTTCGGCGAAGAAAAAAAAATTGCGCTTTGTAGGGTTAATGTTAAACAGGATGAGACTGAGAAAATCCAGAAATTTAAGGCTAAATTAGTAGCTCAAGGGTTTCGAAATAAATTTGGATTTTCTTATGAGGAAACATTTAGTCCAGTTTTAAAAAGAAAAAGTATGAGAATACTGGTTGCAGTGGCAACTGCGAATGATTGGAAAATTGAACAAATTGACGTGAAAACAGCATATCTCAATTCTGAATTAAAGGATGAATATATACATGGATAACCTGAGGGTTTTGTGGAATTAAGTGTGAATGAATTTTTATGCAAGCCGAATAAAAGTGTTTATGAGCTGCCAATATCAACTAAAAATTGGTATGAGTATATTGGAAATTTATTAGGTGATCTTAGATTTATTAAAAGCAAATATGAACCATGCATATATATTAGAGAAAAAGAAAAGGTTATTTTAGGATTATATGTAGACCATATCATATGTTATTGATAGGGGAAGAACAAAATGTAGCTGAAGCCAAAGTAGATATTTCAAACAGATTAGAAATAACAGATACAAGTTATGTTAAAAGGTTATTAGCAATAGCTATTTAACAGGAACAGAGTCTTGTTATGTTATTACAGTTGGATTATATAGAGAAATACATATATAGACAAAGAAGATTTTATCGAGTGTGTATGATATACAAATAAATAATGACGCTGCCTTGTCTTTATATATCTCAGTTAATAATGTTTGTAGAGGAAAATGAAATAGAGTTTAAAAAAAATCGTGATGTTCACTCGTATTTGACTAGAAATAGAGAAAATTTTTACCAGCCTTATTCTAGACTTGGAGTATGCCAAAATTCACCGAATTATATGGGTATCGAATGTTTTAACAAAGTAAAGAGCTTTATTGACAATAATAACAACATTAATATTTTCAAGAAAAATTTACATCTGTTTTTAATTGATAACTCATTCTATAGTATTGATGAGTTTTTAGACTTTTAACTTTATATAGTCTACGTAGGTCTATCTCTCTTATTTTAGTTGTGTATGATCTATGTAGGTCTATCTCTCTTTAGATTTATACGATTATGTCTCTCATTATGTGAACATATATTGTGTATATTTTTTTTTATCTGACTAGTCCGATAAATGTTATGCATTTTGTAAGTCAACACAGTTTGTATAACCTTTGGTGATAAATAAATATGAATATGAAATGTAAATTACAATTAAAATTGCCGAAAAGGAGTAGGTAGTATGTAAAAATTGTATATGATACAAGCACAAAACAAAGTAAATAAATATAAAATGTAAAAATGAAAATGTAAAAATAAAGATACATAGTGACAGTACCTACATTGACGATAGTCACTCTGTAAAGCTGAAGTCAGATGCATCATAGTAAGTAAGCATTCTCTGAGAGATGTTTTTTCAGTTTCCGTTTGAAATTAGCGAAGGTTGCATTTTTCATTGATTGGGGCAGTGAGATGTACAATGAGATGTATGAGTTACATCTCCTTGTTATTTCTAGTCTTTGGTTTGGTGCTCTAATATTATCCTTGTTCCTAGTATTATACGAATGGTTGTTACCGTTTGTAATAAACTTTTGTGAATTTTCTTGAATGTGTATCAAATTGCAGTATATTACACATGATGGCAGAGTTAATATATTGAACTTAATAAACCAACTCTTACAGCTCTCCATTTGACCTATTTCAGCTAAAGCTCTGATTGCTCTTTTTTGAATTTTAAATATTCTCGAGATATGAACAGATGTGCCTCAGTTTATCAATCCATAAATTAAGGAACTATGAAACATTGCAAGATAAGCTGTATGGGCAGCTTCAGTACCGACTTTATTTTTTATCTGCCTGATTGCATAGACCTTGCATGATAGATTTTTTGCTAGTTTGTCAGTATGGGGTTTCCAAGTTAACTTTGAATCAATGGTTATACCAAGACATTTCACATTATTTAAGAGATTATGAGACAGCGAGAACATAACTGTTTGTGTCTTGCTTTCATTCACACATAGGCTATTCGCGTTAAACCAGTCCGTAGCTTCTTGAATAACTCGCTTTTCTAATTCTGATGACTTATCAATATTTTTTCCCGAATGTCGAAGGAAGTGTCATCGTCGAATAGCATTGTTAACATTGTCATTGAATTTGGCAGATCATTAATATAAATCAAGAAAAGTAGTGGCCCAATAACACTACCTTGTGGAACACCATACAATATCGTTTGTAAGCTACTGAGTTCTTCATTATATGATACACATTGCTTTCTCTCATTTAGATATGATGCTAGCAGATTGTGTGTGCGTGTGCTATGCCTACAAATCCATAGTATCAGTTTTTCTAATAAAATGTCAGTAGAGACACGGTCGAACGCCTTGCTCAGATCGAGGAATATGCCAAGTGTTGATTCTTTGTTTTCAAAACCTTCAGTTATGAAGTCGACTAATTCGAGCACTGCTTTCGACGTGCTTCTTCCTTTCCTGAATCCAAAGTCTATCTGTCAAGATATTTGTGTACTCTAAATAATTTATCATTCTTATTGCCATTCTTTTTTCTACAATTTTTGCGATTACTGGAAGTAGTGCAATTGGTCTGTAATTTGGAGGAAGATTGATATCACCACTTTCAAAGACCGGAATTATCTTTGCAATTTTTAGTTTTGATGGAAATACACCAGATTTCAGAATCAAGTTGACATTGCATGTAATTGGTCGTAGTAGCGCAGATAGGTTTTCTTTGTACTTAACCACTGAAAGATTGTAAATATCAAGCGAGCCCGAGTTTTTTAGGGATTTGATGACTTCACTTACCTCTGCAGTATCAATTTAATAGAAATGCATCGAGTTATCAGCATTGCATGGAACTTGGTGGAGATAGTTTGAGAATGAATTATTGGGTGTGCTCATTTCATTATTCGTATCCAGGGCTACATTTATAAAAAAGTCATTGAACTGCTCTGATGTAAGACAAGTAGAGCTATTCGTGTGATTATTACAACCTATGTTTTTATTTATAAACTGCCAGATTGTTTTTTGTTTACTGTTCAATTCGTTCAGTTGTTTCATCACCTTTTCTTTCGTCATTTTCATAAATAATTGTTCGTATTTATATATTTTTCATTTAAATTCTGATGTTGATTTTCTCATAGTTGTTAAAAAGTTTCAATTGATCGTTCAGTATCTGAATTTAATTTTTTGCAGCAATTACTTCTGGATATGAATAAATGCTAGGGTCACGCTTAGAATTCATTCTAACTTTCATGGGAGGAAATTATACTTCCATATAGTAGTTCAGGGTATTATAGTAAACTTGGATCATCTCGTTTATCTCATGTTGTTTAAATAATTCAATCCAATTTTCTGTTGTTAATTTATCGAAGAATAAAGTTTTTTCTGCAACATCTTTATTGTGTAGTGTTCCTGTGACTGATATCTGATTCAATTCAGACTAACGAGGTCTTACCTTTTAACGTGTGATTCCTAATACATTATATGGGTAAAATTTGTATAAAATTTTCACACCTTCAGCAACTCGAGGGATATGAGAAAAACTCCAGTCTTTCACTTTATGGTTCTAATGGACCCTTGATGTGACTTTTTTTTTTCAAAGGTTAACTCTTTGTTGATACATTACTAATTCTCAATTACACTGTGAAAAGCTGAATGTTATTTTTAGGCAATAAAAGATATAACAGAAGTACATAATGAAATTGGTGCACAAGAACTGCAATTGGGAATACAGACAGATGAGTTCCAAGAAGATCTGAACTTTGGTTTAGTTCATGTAGTATACGAGTGGGCAACTAATCAGGTAAGAATATGAAGTTGAAACAGGTCAAGAGTAACAGCCACAAAGTATTTGGGTATAATTGTTCTATGTTTTACCTACTTGATCTTTTTTACCTATTAAAATTTGGTTGAACTTGGGAAATCCTGTTTCAATAAAAATTGACGTCTCCGTTACATGCTACCGTCACACTGACAACTCATCTCTTTTTTTTTATCAACATGAATAACTAAATGAACAGTTGAACAGTGTATATAAAAACCAATTATTGTAGAAGTGGATTGAACAAGGGTTAAGCAGATGTATGCTTTCAAGATTTTTGCACCTCGTCCATTGTGATCTTTAATTTTGATGGGACCAGCATAATCCACCCTGGTTATATTAAAGACTGGCGCGGGAAAAACTGTTCGGCGGTAAATTCTCCATGTTGTGGTTTGACACAACGCACACAGGCATTTACAGATTTATATCAGAGAGTCCAAAACCATTCACGAATACAGAACAGCAAGTGTTGGAGTTTACAATGGAACAATCTTATGTGTTATTATTGGAAGATGAGCTTGATTAAATAGTGTTTATTTGACAGAAGTATAGGATGTTTTTTGATTCAATCATAAAATTAGACAAGTTTAGCCTGCCAACTAATCTGATAACGTTATTTGGGCCTAAAAATCAAGAATTTTCGATTTCTTGCTCACTGTTTTGTTTGATTACAATTTCACCAAAGCATGTATAGCGTGATTAAGTTAGAAGTTGTTATTGGGTTGTACTTCCAATCAAGTGACCTATTTTGGGAATTGAATACATTTTTTTGAACATTACCATTACTCTTTGCATATTCGAAAATGCTTTAAGTGGAAATAAATCAGATTCTTGAATATTATGCAGGTTGGTTATCCTTTGTTTCTTTAACTCCGATACTTTAGATGGAAACTCTACAGTTGACTTTGGCTAATCTACTATTGATTGTGAGACCCAAGCAGGACCTGTCTAATGAAGTTTTGGGATAGGTCCCCCTTGTTAATAAGTCTACTGGGTTGCCTTTCATTCTTACAAAATTCGAATCTGAAGGATTGATTTAAGATACTTTATTCTGTACAAATGTTTTCAACATATTTCGATGGGTTTTTATCCAACACAAACACATGCTTGAGTTGCTCCAATAAAAGACTCTGTTGGACCTGACACGCATAGCTTTTTTTTTTGGTACCTTGGGAGCTGTCTGACTTGTCCATTTAGTCCAAGTTTCCAGAAAACACTGCAGCCTTTTGGGCTTATTGCGTTTATTCTCCCATCTTCTCATGACACTCATTCCATCAGTCTCATTCCCTGTACTAGTTTGTACAGGTTCCGTGTTGGATGTTCGTCATATTCTTCTGGACATAATTTCGTACGTCCATATATTGCCTGCCTCCTGTGATTCAAATAAATATGCTTTGCGCAGCTGTAATATCCAGTCATCGGAGATAAACTCAAGATGTATAAACCTCTGAAGGAGCTAGCCACTTTTGCCAGCGAAACGTCAGAAAGAAATTCCAAAAATCGATGGCCTTCAAATCCGAAAAATAGTGACACTAAAAACTCTGTGTGAATGTTGTTACTGACAGCTTCATCCCAATTTAGTTTCAACATCCACAGACATTTGATATTTGTTGCAAATGATATTCTGGATCGTTTTATCCGGCTCGAAGGACCAACTGATGTTTTGAATTTTTCGTTAGTAAATTCTGTTGAACTTACAAAATCTTAATTTTACCTTGTTACATGCCACTGTCACAATGAAGACTTTTTTCATCAATACGAGTGCTAAATGAATAGTTGCCGGATTCATATGAAAAACAAGTAATGGTAGGGAAAGGGCTTGAAAAATAATTATGAAATGAATTTCCTGAGGAATGCGTTGTTATGTCAGGACTTCAACTCTGAACATGTTTATAGTTAGAAAAATCACTGGCTAAGATTGATATTTTTGGGAGATTTTTACCAATTCAAATAAAATTGTATTTATTTTCTTCTTATGTTGGGATTATGTATCTTATTGAACTGTAGTCATATGTTACTTAAATTGCTTATAAATATACCACTTGAAACCTAAATTGGTAATTGTGTGATACAAGGGTAGGGAATGAACATAGATTTCAGTGAAGAAAACAAAAGTAATTGTGATTTATCCGTATCAAAACCTCCTCCCAAAAACTATATTTCAAAATCTTCCCAATGATCTCAACAACTAACCTTGTAATGATTTTTTAGCCTTTTGCCGATATTATGAAACTGACTGAAATCCAAGAAGGGATTATAGTGAGATGTATTCAGCAGTTGAACGAAACTATCTGTGACGTCAGAGATGCTGCTAGAATTATCGGTGATCCTGAATTGCAGAGTAAAATGGAAGAAGCATCAACTGCTATCAAACGAGATATTGTTTTTGCAGCTAGTTTGTATACTCAAGGCGAGACTTTATGAGAGAGAAATGAAATATTAATGTCAAGTTTCTGCCATGACTAATGCCAAGTGTTTTTACTGCTCCAGTTCCTGAGAAAATAATTTGTTTTTTTATAAAAAAATATATTTATTGTGACAAATAAAATGTTTCATATGAAATTTATGATTGTTTTTCTCACTGGTCTATAACCCATAAAATGTTTACTCCAGCTCTTCCTAAGTTCACTCTTCCAAGCATGCCAAGCTCAATTTTGTTCACATGGTAGATGAAAAATAGAATACTGTGGAAGAGGTTGTTGTAACCCTGAAATAAGAAAAGTATAATTAATCAATGAAATGTAATGTTTATCAGGTTTAGTATAACAATATTATAACTTCTTCAAATGACAAAACCAAGAAAAATTGAATAGTTTGTTCCACTGTTCTTGAATATCAAGATGGACTATATCCCTCCATGAATGTGATTGAAGTAATTATAAAATGGCAATTAATTAGTGCAATTCATTAATGTAATATCTACTTTACTTAATATTTCCTGAAAAGTTTATACAGATGTCTAGTGAACATCCTTCTTTCATTGAAAAGTTTCTATCCTTGAAATTGTAGGCCAAAAATATACCAATACCAAATATTGTTCTTATATGAATATTTTAGCAGTCTGATGTTTTTAATGTCTTTTGATACTGAATATTGAAGTAAAACTGTTATATTCAGGGATTTTTATTAGAAAAAAAATAAAATATTCTATGAACTGGATTTCAAGAAATTCTTATAGACTAACCCCATATACGTTAACATTTAATTTTTTCAGTATCATGGCATGATTCAAATCCTCCTAACAAAAATCCCTAAATCGAGCACACTTACCTTAACCATTTCATAAACTTTTCCTGCTACTATGACCCTGTAATGGGGTGGTTGTTCGGAAACCTGATGAATAAAAAGACTATTCTTCGTTAGGTCAGGCAGTTTTTCTGAAGCCCTTATGTAATGATGGCCGCTAAAAGCTTTAGTATCTGGCATGCTCGGTAAAGGCATCAGCTGTGTATCCAAATAGGAAGCTAATAGATGCATAACAATCTGTAACGTAAAATAAGCACCTATTCAGTTTGAAGTTCATTATTTAATATCGGACGTCAAGTGAAATTCAATATAGATCATTAGTATTATAATATTTAAGATTTTCATATTTTATTTTCTTCTGGTATATTTATCAATGTATTAATTTTATGGCCTATGCCTCCTTGAGCTTGCCACAATAAACCCGAAAGGGTTTATTGTGGCTCACACCTATTCACACTCTACCAAATAAACCCAGCTTCTTAACGAAGCCATTCAGTTTGTATGGTGAGTGGTCTTTTAGGTCAGATGGTAAGAGTACTGCTCTGCCGAACTCCCTAATTTGGTCCCCAGCGGGGCAGGCACAAAGTATGTGCTCTGCTGTTTCATCATTTTCCAAACAGAGGCGACACACACTCGTATTCTGACAGTCCGAGTCTCTGCATATGATGATTCAAATGACAGTGACCTGTAAGAGGTCTGTTAGACATCTTAGTTCATCGCTACTGTAGTCCAACAACTATTTAGTATCAAGCTTTGAAAGGGGAATAAAAGCCTTGGAGTGAGCCAATCCTGAAAGATTCTGCCAGAAGTCCATAAATCTTCTTGCCTTCCAGGTATTCAATATTTATTTGGCAAAGCCTAAAGCGATGCCAATGACAGGTTATGCTCCGATGAAGCTGCTTGCAGCACCCTCCTTTGCAAGGGAGTCATTTCATGGAAAAAAAATCAAAAAAAGAATACATACTACTGATAATAATGGTAATAAAAAACAACGAAATATATACCCTTACCATATGTTCAAAAATTATCAAATAAAATCAACAAAACAGCAGAAAAATACAACATAACCATAGCACATCGATTACAGAATACAAATAACACCTTATATTCAAAATTAAAACCTGAAATCCCAAAAAATAAACAAGCTCACACAGCATATAGGATACTACCATACAAAGATTGTGAATGTAGCTATATAGGTCAATCCAAACAATACCTACAAAAAGAATACAAGCACACAAATATTCTAAAACTGACATTACAGCCTTGTCCAAACATAAAAAAAAATAAACATAAAAGTCGACTTTGACATGGTTGAAATTTTGACCAAAGAACGAAATTTAAACGTTTCCTTGAAATGATCCACATAAAAAAAGATCCCAATAGTATTAATAATAGAAGTGATATCAAGAAACTCAATCAAGTCTATAACAACTTACTAAAATAAAACAGATTTTTACATCAATTAGATTTTTCAAAAAGTGAACTAAAACTCACATACTATAATCGAAAAGGTCGAACATTCATTCCAATCAATTTAAAACATAGGGAAAAAACAAAAAAAAGGATAAGGGATAAAACAAATTTGACACCAAAAATCGAGTTCATACGTTCAATCACTATCATTTTAAACGAGAAAATGAAATAAGTACAAAATAGTAATCTTGTTCAATGATTTTGTAAGTAGAAATCATAAATGTTTCCTTCACATTAAGTTCTAGTCATATTTGATATTATATAACGAATTATGTTTTTAACCTCTTAACTTCAATATTGTACTATTTTTAAGATTTCAAACCTGAAGATAACATAGACAATTCCGAAACTTCGTTGAATAAAAATACATAGACTGAATAGGACCCTTATTCAAAAAAAAATAAAATAAACATATGTGGTGAAGAAACAAAGAGAGAAAATATATACACGGACATGTGTTTCTGGCTATTGGCCTCATCAGCGTGGTGCAGCCAATTGAAAAGATAGATAACAACTAGTTGCCAAAAATGAAAAAACATCACATATGCACGGTGTCACCAACAGGAGCTAACCGCACATTTGTGGTTTCAATAAGAAGACATTTTTTGAGTGATCTGTCCACGAATTTATCCCTTTTGATTTATATCATACACACTCGATATCATCTATATCTCTGTATTTATATCCTGGACCCGGAAGTCAGGCAGGTAGCTATAGCTGCCTACGTGGTGATGTTAGATGATGCCTGGGAATGCTAGGTCTTCTAATTGAAATCACAAATGTGCGGTTAGCTGCTGCATATATGATGTTTTTTCATTTTTGGTAACCAGTTGTTGTCTATCTTTACAATTGGCTGCACCGCCCTGCACTTTTTTTTAATTTATACATATACCTGTAATTTATGCAATTTATGGAATAAATAAATAAAAAGGAAAATTTAAATTATAGAAACAAACAAAAACAAAAAGTTATGCATGTTATGAAATTTTGAGACAACAAAAATTAATTGGCGCTCCGGGGCAACCTGATTGACTCCAATGGGGGCGCATTTGCTTTTTCAGCTGCATGAAAACCCGAATAAAAATTAACTCAGAAAGGGACGTTTATTCAAAAATTTCAAATAACACATGTTCTTTACATGTATAATAGTTAGGAATATATTGAATACAAAGATGATATAGAGAAAGTGCAGAGAAGTTGCCCTCATTCATAGACTTTGCTCTTTAGCGAATATATCAGGGGCTCAGAGGTAAAGGTGACTAAACCAAAAACTATATTTTTTTGGGTTACATATCGCATCTACTTATTTTGGAACGTTATAATCCATGTGGCAATTGTGCCTAAGCCTACAGCTATTATTACGTGTATCCATCTATCGAGTAGTTTTTGAACTGACAAATAATCATAGAACGTGTGTGATAAAACTACCTAACCAACACAAACATAGCGGACGTCAACATGAGCAGTGATGAACACGAGCCTTTTGATTCGGATTCTAGCGATCAGGATAGTGATTATAATCCTGACTCATCAAGAAGTAAGTCTTCATGTGAGTTTCAAGAGTTTTTTTAATGTTTTATTGACCGAGAAGCAAATCGTTTGATGCAAAAATGACTTAGTAAAGAATATGGGTTAGGCACTTTTGCCCCACATTTTATTTAGTTTTCTTTTGTTTGGTACCTAGGCGAGAATAATGCAGAAAATGGTATGTCAGCTTTCAAAACTCATTCAAACTCCAAGAAAAGATTGCGAAGGCCTGAAACTCACGCGAGATTCATTAGGAAGCTGGCAAGGGAAAGAGGAGCAAAGTACAAGACAGAAAAAGGAAAAAATAAAGATGCAAAACAACTGGTTATTAGACCATGTTCTTGTAAAATGGAATNCAACTGGTAGAGCAATAACTAAGGAGAAAAAGACTTGCTATATTTGCTAAAGTTTATTCCACCAGAGTTCCATGATTTTTATGAAGGGCTAAGGGATAGTTCTGAGACAGTTGACAATGATTTGGCTGAAGAAGCTGCTGAACAGGAATTAATATGAAATGTTAGAGTATCATTAGTCATTATGTTTCGTTCTGTTGGGGCCTAACCCACTTGTTATTTTACATTTTTTGTAACAGCAAAGGTGCCTATTATTCTAAAGAACATAATACTAATATCAAAACATAGGATATATTTTTTTTCATAGCATAATGTGATTTAGAACTTTCTCTATGAAATCGTGAAATAATTCTCTTGACCTTTCATCAAAAGGTGCATTTTATAATTTGGTTTCGACTATACCCCAATGTAACAAAAAACTGCGGTATTGTGGCTTAGTCACCTTTACCTCTGAGACCCTCATATATTGTTCAGAAAAAACAAGCATCTTTTTGGAGAAAATTACTGTAATAAAAAAAGATGAATGAATCATTGCCAGTTTAAGATATATGATGGAATCGGCCGATACTTGATGAAAATCCATGAAATCCAAAAAAAAACACTTTATCGTGAGAATTTCACAGCTGTTTAGTGTTTGTATCATAAACCGTAGATGGACTTGGTCTTTTGATTACGATTACCTGATGAATAAATAAACAACTTACTGCACAATCTGTAGGCAGTGAGACATCCCAATCTTTTCCATTGTAGGTACCTCCTCCATTCCACTTGAACTCACTGATGCAGCCACCTCTTGCCAGTTCCCTGATGCGTTTCACCAAATACTCCTGATTTGCCGTTATTTCCAAGAAAGGCAGCAGTGTAGGCAGCGAAGGTATGAATTGGGCGACTGCTGATGTTTGGGCTGTTTTCCTAAGTCTCTCTAAACCTACGCCACCTATCTTAATATCCGATAAGCCATGGGTGTCTAGAGAGTCATTTATTGAGTCAAATTCCTTGACAAGTCTTTCAATAATAGTTTGGGAAATCCACTGAAAAACACAAGATAGACATTGATTGGTCATTAAGTACCTTCGAGAACTAAAAGAATTGGCGGATATCAATAGGTTGTCTCTACAAGATTGAGATAGAAAAATGTATTTAATGAAAGTTGTCATCAATATACAGTGTTCAATAAATGTGTGATTCACTCAAGTTGTATTTTTTTTAAATGCAACTTCCATGTTTTCACTCTATTGATTTACTTCAAAAGACTTGTTTTTAAAAAAAAAGCCTGTCTGGATTTACACTGGGTGGTTCGGAAGTTATCTCCTACCCGGTCAAATGGCATAGGAAAATTTGTTCAATAAATAACGTTGAATGTAGAATAACTTCATTTCCAATTCACGTTTTTTCATGTAATTCAATGTTATGTGAACATAGCTGTTTCGAGAGGGTTTTTTTCTTCAAGTTCGTATCTTTGTTTAGAGCAGGTGTCTGCAAGTAGTTTTAGGTGGGGTCTGGTAACTGTGAGAAAATTTTGACGAGGTCCAGAAAAAAACAACTGATAAAAATCAAGTGCTACCTATGTATTATTCTGGTTTCAAATCAAATTCTGAATTATAAAACACAAGAATAAAATTATAAAATTAATGTGAAAAGAATGAAAACAATTTAAAACTATTAACTAGCACTAACACTATAATTTACTCATCCAAATGCACCAAATTTCTTGGAATAGAACTTGACCATAAATTGAACTTCAACAAACAAATTGACTGCCTATGTAAAAAATTGAATAAACTTTACTTCGCGATGAATAGTCTGAAATCGAATTTTTACCAATGTCAGCTGATTAACTTATACTATGCCTTAGTCTACTCAGCAACATAATCGTGTGGGGCAGGGCGACCGAGATAACGAGAGTATTCATTCTGCAAAAGCGATTTATTCGCCTGATATTCAACTTGGACTTTAGGGAATCATGTAGAGAGACTTTCAGGACAAATAGCTTGATGACTTGTACAAGCATTTACCTCTACAAGCTATTAAATTATACCCACCAGCACAAAAATAAGTTTCAAAAAAATAGTGATGTCCACCAATACAACACTCGAAACAAAAACAATGTCCACTTAAGCAAATTCAACCGTCTGCACCTGAAAAAATCCCCACTCTATGCAGGAGGATATTTCTATAACCTGCTACCAGATGAAATAAAAGCAAATGAAAATATAGTCAAATTCAAATCCACCTTGAAATCATTTTTGATTGACAACTGTTTTTATTCCCTAACAGAGTTTACTGAACAATTACTAAAATGAAATAACATATTCTCATCCCCTACATAGCACCAGGCATTTTATTCCCAACTCTACATGTACGAACTTTTAAAAAAATATGTATTGTATTATTGTATTGTTAGTATTTTTAGGTGTATTTTTCGTTTTTTATTAAGATGTATTGTAATTTTATCCTGATTCGCAACCGAACATGGTTATTAGACTTATCTCATGTCATGTAAATGATTCGAAGAGATCAATAAATCTATCTATCTATCTAAGTAAACAATAACAAGCCAAGTTTAGGATGTGTGGTAATTTTCAAAGCAAAATATGTACATGTGCAGACAGTTTTTTTTAGTCAGTATGATCAGCAGGGTATTACAAAAAAATTGTTATTTTAGATGACAAGATTCATAAGAAGGGAAATTATGACTGAACTGAGATATTGTCAATAATAATCAATATTCCAAAATTTATATTTTGACTGATCCCTGTAGATCATTTTGCTTTTATAAACATAAATTTTAAAATCTCTAGACTTTTGATAGTTGTGATTGGACCAATTCATTTACTAATTTATGCAAAAATATCAGTTTATTGTTATACAAAAATATCAGTTTGTTGTTATGTCTACGAGTTTCCAGAGTAAGGATATTAAAAGTATTGAGCATCCCAGAATAATCAAAGTTCAAACCATTCGATACTGATTTGTAGAAAAGACATTTTGTTGATTTTTTTCTGAACTTATTCAAGAGTATCCTTGTGCACATTTTGGAGACCAGACTATTGATGCATTACCCCGCCTAGTTTTAAAACTGAATTTTTCAAGTGATCTTTCAGTTATAATATATGCCAATTGATATGGGACCATAATAAGTTTCAGTAATGGACGTCTTCTCCAGCATCATAATAAATATATAGTTCTTTCCTTTTGTCTTAGCTTAGGTAGAATATTTTGTGGTTAAGTGGAAGAACAACTTGGTAGCACTTCTGCTGAGTTGAACTTCGCCTTTTGTATATCAGCAACTGGTTCAATTAAAATATATGTATGAAACTACAGCTGAGAAACAACGACCATTATTATTATTATATTCCAGTCCAGAACGAACAAAAGAAGCACATTCGTCTGAAGCCATTGGAGGTACTATTTTATATATGCTTATTTGAAAAGCATAGTTTGATGAGCATATTATGGCAATGGCAAAGAAATTGTCATCTGGGTGTTATGCTATCAGAGTTATTAGAAATGACATCGGTTATCTTATTGCTAGAAAAGCCTACTTTGCTCTCCTGGAATCTCACATTAGATATGGGATAGCATTTTGGGGAGCCTGCTCACAAGCGTTGTTCTCAATGATCTTTAAGCTACAAAAGAGAGCACTGAGATACATATGCCATGTTAATCACCAAACTTCATGTAATAAATTTTCACATTTTTCATAAACACCACAAAGTGGAAAGAATATTGTGACGAATCTGAAGCCGCCCATGACCGATACGCCAGCCGGCTCATCGAAAAAAACACATGACCTCACCGCGAAACTCTAATCGAGTACCGAACCGTCTACAATATTCTCGACCCAAGAGAGGAGTTCAGAAAGTGAATCGAGCGGCTAAACAAGAAATTCAAATCTGTTTTTCCGTTAATCAGCTGTCGCCCCCATACGAACGACAACTCTCAGAGGTTGAGAAACTTGTGCGAGCTAAGGACTAACGAGGTCTTTCCTTTTAACGTGTGATTCCTAACACGATTGCAGAATCATCCCAACTTCATCTAGATAAATTCACTCCCAGATAAATTGTGGAAATAAATTAAGCGTTAGTTGCTAAGTGTTGTACTGAATGAATTGTGTTTGTGATTATTAAAATATTGTTGGAAATAAATTAATTAAGACAGTTAATTCATAATTTTTCACAATATGTTTTATCTTCCTTTTGAACACTCCAATGGGTACTTGTGACGCACTGTTTGGAACCTTTGGTGTAGTAATGAAAATTACTGGAGTTTTTTCCCAACACCAAATTGTTATTATTTTTAACACCTCGACACGTGTTTCGATCACCAAGGGATCATATTCAAGAGGAAGATCATCTTTAAGGGGAAGATCATCTTTAAGAGGATGATCATCTTTAAGAGGAAGATGAACACTAAGTGATCGAAACACGTGTCGAGGTGATGAAAATAACGATTTGGTGTTGGGAAAAAACTCCAGTAATATTCACTCCAATGGGTGTTCGTATATCTGATTGAATTTTTTACACACCGAATGAATTGGAGATTTCAATAGTATATTCATTCTTGGAGTAGGCAGAGTGAGCTTCTGCTGTTCAAACGAGGTGTGTTGAAGTTCAGTTGAGATAATAACTCTGGAAAATCATTTAGGTATTTTGTGTTTATACAGTGTGTAACAACGAAAACTTAACAGAGCCGTNAAACAAGGTGCCACTCGACCTACTTTCCCTATCTAAATAAGGGTCATCGGACGCACCCCTCCGAGGGGGTGCGTACTACAAAAAATCTGATTAGTCCAAAAGGTATCCCCCTTTAATTAGAAATCGACGTGTCCGAGGTTTTTTTAAAAATCTTACTTTTTATATTCAAAAACGCCTCTGTTAAGTTTTCGTTGCTACACACTGTATATAAAAATGTAAAAGTGGTGGGTTCTACGGTTCACGAAAATCTGTGTAGTAATAAATTATTATCTAAATCTTGTTTACGATAAATTCCATCAATTCTGTATACAATATACTCTAAGTATTTTCGTTGAATTGATTCGAGCAGATGAATGTGATTCAAGTAAATAGGAGACCAAATCAGCAAGCCATATTCTAAGTGCGTTCTCACATATGAGGTACTGAGAGCAATGAGACTATCTTCATTTTTAAAGTGTACAGTTTCTAAAAATCAAGCCAAGAATTTTTTCGCTGCCGATGCGGTTTTGATTATGTGCGATGAGAAGCTCAATTTGGAGTCAAAATTAATGTCGAGATCTTTTGTTACATCACAATATGAGCCTGCAATGCTAGCATTCTTATCGCAATCCACAATTCAAAATTTTTTTAATCGTCTGCAAATATTGCACACTTGTTCACAAGATAATCGGTGATGTCATTGATAAACAAGTTAAACAACACAAGGCACTGAGAACCTTGCGGAGCACCCGAGATCACAATGATTGGGCAAAAATAAAGTTGTTGATATGAACATATTCAAATCTATCAGCAAGAAAACTATTTAAAAACTCTCAGATTCAAATAAGAGAGATTCCAGTTTAGCTAGTAGCATTCTATGGTTTATTTGGTCAAAGGCTCTCGAAGAACTGCTTCAGCAGAGTAGTAATTGGCTCAGAACAATTACAAGGCTACAGCCAAGGGGAAGAGACAGCACGTCATGGTTTATGTTTATGTTAGTAACTAGATCAAAGGAGGCAACCGAAATTACATGCAGAAGAATATGACAATCATCCAACAAACAACAAATCAAAATAGAAAACAAGATCGTTGGAATGATTGTCATGAGAAAATGAGAAGAAAACAACATATAATTGAAGAGTAAATACTCACCACTCTTAAGTTCTCATTCCATTGAGTCAATGCCACACTATCAACATTTATACGAGTCCACACTTCTAGTGCCGATATTTGCGAGCTTGTTATTTTACCGTCACCTTTAATGTTAGGGCTACCAGGAGATTTAGCTGAAAATACTATAAATTTTCATCTGCTATCCTAAATATACGTAAAGTTTCAATAATAAATAATTCAACTGTTTTTTGTCAATATATTATATCAGGGTTGAACTCTTTTTGAAAAATCTAACAACTTGATTACTTGGACAATCAGATAGTATAAAGCTTACTGCCAGTGGCGGCGTTAACCATTGCGAGGCTCCAGGGTGCAGCAAAAGACAAATTTTTTGACGTTTTAGTCCAGTTTTAAGCCAAACTTGTGTTATTTTTTTGTTTTTGTCAATACCTCGAATAAAATGAAGTCCTGAATGTTAACTGCCAACATTATCATTGGAATACTCAAGAACAGAAAAAAAACGAAATTTGCAATATATTGTAGTAGTATTTTCATTACTTGAACTTCAATGTATAATGAGTGTTATTCATTTAAATACTCCATGATGACAAAAATTGTCCTTTTTTAAATTTTTTTCATAGAAAGTATTACATTTACAAACCTTTTTATTGAAAGGTTTTTTTGAGCAAGATAATATTCTCATTAAAATATACACAAGTTTAGAGAAAGTAGAACGGCAGTTGACTCCCAAATTTGATTTCATTTGATACCTAAAATGATGGATAAGATCAATATACGTACTAGCTAACTGGCTCGAGAGCTGATATTGACACTTCTTCAGAAATGATGATACATCCTTTGCAGTCTTAGTAACGGGATGACTCCAAAAGGAACTCAATAAGTTTGAAGATTGTTGAGATTTATTAGCTAATTTTTGAACTTTTTCCATTTCTTCATACTCTTTTAGGTATTTGTTGAGAGAATTCTCATCTGTAATAAATTCAACTGATGATGCTTCACAAAAAGATGTCTTCATAGAGGAAGTCTTTGAGGCAGAATTTGGTGGTGACCTGTTTGAGAACCTTGTTGTGTTTGTCTCAGGAGTACATTTTAAGTAAGTCCAAGAAGGTGAAGATATTGAAAAATTAATACCTGCAAAACAAATTGAAAATTCAATGTCTCTGAATTATATATAGCTATTCGAAGTCTATGCACATGGATCTCGCAAACAGTGAGAGAAAGTGAGTAGATTAAATTGTGTATTTTTTGTTGTATTTTCACTTTGCCGCTGGAACTTTCATTGTGTTATCAGAATAACAATCATAACATTTTTGTACAGGGTGTCGTCAGAGTTGTGGCACCCTCAACACTGAAATTTTAAATAAGTGCTGTAATACTTTTTTAATCGGTATTCAAATTTCAAAACTAAATATAAAAGACCAATTGTTCGACTGAAATGAAAGTAAATTATTGATATCTTGTAAGGGTTAAGTGGAAGAACATTTTCCGTGACGTACTGCATTACGTATGATGAACTTTGTCTCTTATTTCACTTGCTAGTTTTCANACATCTAAATTTAAAAACTCTCCCCAGTATAGTGCTATTACGTTTTATAATAAACTACCCAACTTTTTAAAAAACTCCAAATCAGACAATATTTTTTATAAAAGTACTAAGGAATTTTTTATTGAAAAATGTTTTTATAATGTACAAGAGTATCTGGATGGCAACTTCAGCTGAGTTTAATTTTGTTTAGTATACTAACAAACTCTCATTGACATTTCAAACTTTATATCTTACTTACTTGCTATATTTTAAATGTATATGTTTAGTATAAATAGTACCTGTTGACATACCATATGTACATATTGTACCTCAGTGGCTAAATAAATTATTATTATTATTATTCTAAAGAGTTTCGATAATCAGATAATGATTGAATGAATTATTATTTTTTTAATATGCCCTGATAATCACTGAATGGAAGCAATTCTTACTCTCTTTATATACCATCAAAAAGACTTCAGCAAGTACTTGAAGAAAGTCCTCTTAATTTTACATGTTGTACAACTTCCAGAAATTTGTGAAAATTTTATATTGTATGTTCAATCCCGGCTTTAGCACTGTTCACTCCAGAGTTTAAAGAGACTAATGGAAAATATATACGTTATTGTTCATGAAGGATGAGCTGGTATTGACTTCAAACTGTAAATTAATTCATTCCTCTTAATTTTAAGCTCATATGAAGCTCCTGGGAGAAGTTGCATATTCCAGAAACCAATAATAAAAGATCAGACAAGTTCTTTGTTGTGAAAATTCTAGAGGAATAAACTTATAAACATTGACTTTCACGGTAGGAGTCATGATTGTAAAGATAAAAATCTGGAATAGTAGGCTATGTTTGAAAGGAACTTGTAGTTCAACATCCACTACTATGCTTCATCTACTACTGCATTCAACATCTTCAATATTATAGGCATTGACTATGAAGGCGAAGGTATACTTCTCCCAGAAACTTCATATTACCGGCATATTTTTCTTGAACAATATTTTTTTATTATGGATTGACTTCCGCTTAAATAAAGAGAGCCGAAATGGGGACTGGGAATAAACATTTGAGTTTTCTTAAACTTTTAGAAGTTGTAGGAAACAGGAAATCTTCACTTAAATTGAAAAATTGTGATTTCAACATGAAATGTTTGACAATAATAAGAGTGTAATTATCGGGGTAGTTTAAAAAAATTATAATTTATTTGATGACCATTAAATTACCAAAAATTTCAGTAATTTCAAAAATGTTTCAATAATATATGAACATAAATAAAAATTGCTATAAAAAATACAGATCATATTCAAAAAGTTCAAATTTAGGGTGGCCCAAGTGATATGACATCCAGAGTAAAAAGTTCTATTATCATATTCTGATAGTGCAATTGAGGTTCCATTGCAAATATACAAAATGCACTGAAAAATAAAATTTCAAAATTTTCGTTTTTCTCTGTATTATGTCCGGAACCAAAATAACTAAATCACTTTTGACATTCAATAGCCGAAAATAGGCAAATGAGTCACAATTTAACCTATTCCTTCTCTTGCCGTTTAGAGATCCCCACACATAGACTCGAATTTGAATAGCCCTGTATATAACTTACTGTCTAGTTGTGATACATTTGATAACTGGCTAACAGAGCTGATAGTTCCTGGAGTATTGGCAAAACTATTTACTGGAGTACTGTTTATACTTTTTGTTGGAGACTGACAGATTTTGTAGTCTGGATCTAAAAATTGTTATATTGTTCGGTGAATTAAAATCACAATGTTTTAAAACAAACCTGAATCCTTGACATTCAGCAAAACTTTCTGCTCTGGTGTGATTAATATTGGTTCAGAAAAACTTAGTGATAATCTAGCTATTTTTACAATATGATAGAAAAAGTTCAATGTCAAAATTACCAATAGAGAATATTCTAGATATAGCAAATAGTTGAAGTAATAAGGACAAGCATAAGACCTGAAAGAGAAATTGAAATCAGGTAACTGTAAAAAACTTAGTAACTTATTTAGATTTCTTCAATGACTGTTCATAAAGGGGTTTTTGGCTATAACTTAATACTCACAAGTCATATAAAATAATTGCTATGAATATGAAATTTAGAGTAGTCCACGTAAAACTTTTTTTGATTACTCGTCGATTTTGATTTAGTATTAGACTTCTTTCCAAAACCGGAGAACATGTTGGTTGCAATACTCGTCGATTGGGCCTGTATAACAGAATAAAAATCAAATAAATAGTTCTTTTGCATGTATCATTAAAACTCACGTTTGGCAATTCATGATGATTACAATTTTACGAATAAAAAATTATACAGACTAAGTCATTTACAAAAAAATTAGAATTAATTTACTAAATCAAATTAAACTTTTTAAATGAAAAAACCCGGCAAATGCACATCTCACACTCATCGCTCATACCAATTACCAACTAATAAAATTAAAATTAACCTCACTTCATGCATGTTTCACGAAATCTCAGATTACTACAATCCTGTATATAATCTGTGACGGAATACTGTATCAGGCACGGCACAAACAACTAACTCATAACTCATCTGTGACTGTGCAATAGTTCGTGGAGATATCCGATATTTTAACTTCACGTGACCTTGAATAGACAAAGACACGAAAGTACTAAATTATTCCATCCCATACTTGTTATCTGATAAACCAATATGAATATTTAGCGAAAAAGGAACAAAAAAGTGGAAAATATTAAATATGTACTTGGATTACATTTTTTTTGTGGATATCACATCGAAAAGATATTGTAGATCGAGAGTATATTCAAAATAGTACCTATCTATAAATACTGTACAAACTCCACATGACTCGATAAAACATTGTAATTTGAACAATGTATAATAATAGTAACTGAAGCAAATTGGTCAAAAAATTGTTCGACTTTTCTTGTAGAAAGTTAGTCTTCTACAAATAGCACAAATATTTCACAAGATTCTCACATTCAGAATCCATACTTAGAATAATATGTATGTCTAGATCATACTGTTTATTAGATATTCTGCCAACATAAATATAAAGGTGAAAGTAGAGAAAATTCAAAATGTTTTGGGTTGAATGTGCGTACTTGGCTAACATTTGATCTGTTTTATTTATGAGGATTGAGAATATATCAACTAGTGCAGAAATTTCACAAAGTAATGAAACAATATTGCTGTAAATCATCCTCTGAAAAAAATAATACTGCCCGCCGCTGGTCTTTGTCAATCGCACCGACAAACCAATAATTTATGTCGATGGTCAATCGATTGTGAAAGTAGAGAAAATTCAAAATGTTTTGGGTTGAATGTGCGTACTTGGCTAACATTTGATCTGTTTTATTTATGAGGATTGAGAATATATCAACTAGTGCAGAAATTTCACAAAGTAATGAAACAATATTGCTGTAAATCATCCTCTGAAAAAAATAATACTGCCTGCCGCTGGTCTTTGTCAATCGCACCGACAAACCAATAATTTATGTCGATGGTCAATCGATTGTGATTTGGCAAAGGTTGCGCTCAACTCGACTTGCGCTTTTCAATCGTTCTAGATGTCGCGTCGCTTCGAGAGACTACCCAATCGGCTTTCAGAGACTTCCATTACCATATATGAACACTATCAACAGGCATATCAATGAAGTTTAATTGAAAGTACGGTACGAAGTCATCTAATAAGGCGATAGACATTTGAGTATTAGTCTGCAGTTTCAGTTAGAGTGTCTGTGTTGTATTGTCAGCGAGGCAGTAAAATAAAGTTAAGTTTAATTGTACAGTAGTCAATTATTATTGAACCCACGGAAACAACCTAACAATACTCATAAAATATCACGTATAATATTCAAACATTACCAAGCACGGGTTGAAAACATTAAACACCATTGAAGATCTGATTCAATGTTTGGTAGAATAAATTTGTGCAGCATTAATTATCCTCTTTACTTTCAATTCCAATCGCATGGATAGTGTTATTAATTTTCACAAGTCACGGGTCAGTTCATTCATACTATGACAGATGAATTATTGGTTTCCAGTGGAGCATTTTATCTACCAAAACTACAGAACAAGTAGTACTTCAATTTTCATTTTTACTTTGAGAAGTCACTGTTTCTTATCAAAGTATAAATTTATTTTGCACATGCTCGCGCTGTTAACGCTGTTGATAATGGAATAAAATGCGTAATTTAGGTAACGATATTGAGTTTGTCTCTATTTTTTCTTCTGAATTTCAATTTCTTTAAGCACATAATTTTTTATTTTCTTGATAGCTTTCAATCTTGAACTGTTATTAAACATAGTCATAGTTGAACATAGTTCAAATTGTCAGCATTTCTTCTCAAATAAATCGTTAACAAAAAAGACTGTCCACTAGGAACTGTATTTAACTCTAAATCAGTATCAACAGCTTCACGAACTTTATCGGTGGAACACCTTTGTTGACATAATATTTCAGCAGAGCATGTTCGTTAGTAAATCGAAAGACCTACTTTATATTTTTTTAGTGTTCTAAACTTGCTTTATACTGTTTTCAACGTAACTCCCATTCATTTCGACTCAACTATATAATTATATTAATTGAATTGTACCAAAATATTAACTTGAATATCGAATGTACCTATTATATATTATATCAGTGTCTTCAACAATTAGATTTGGATATGATAAGTAGATCAATCGTCTGCAAATGAGAATTTATAACTCCTTAAAATACCAACACTTGGTTCATTTTCAAAATAATGTTTCAACTTTTCTTTGATAATACTTAATTTTTTCGTATTGAAAAATCAAACAATTTTACAGAAATTTTGAACATTGTTCAAAACCTTCCGGTAAAGAAGTTTGTTTCCGCTCATATTCCTTCCTCAATTATCTTAACTCAACTGTTTGCAAAACTCATCAACTATGTTTTTGTTGACTTTTTACCATAAAAAAGTCATGTTGTGGTCAAGAATATTTTTGATGAACTCCATTAAACATTTATCAGTCAGAAATCATCATTTTATTATTATTTCAGTTTTTTAACATAAAACCACTTTTCCCAGCGAACTAACCGATAATTAGATACCATATTATGTGTTATATCCAAGTGTGTATACCAATTAATTGAGTGCAGATGACTTCTTTTGATGACTCAGTGCATTAGTATTCCTACGACCAAGTGTTGAACATCCTTGCACTCAGCTACACTGTACTGACGACGGCCATTAAGTCAAAAACGCATATCTGTGGTTTGCATTTTTTAAGTGCCTCGTTCACGAATGTTCTTAAAGTTTGAGTGTAACAGAATATATTGCAAATCAATTGAAAATGTAATAATTTTCCACTGCATTTCTTGTAAAACTGGTCGTAATAACTTAATATGGAATCTATACTAAATACACAGATCACCAACTAATGAAACTAGTAAACATTTTCAAAGATATAAATACATATATCATAAAAATAACAATAAACATCTAAAAAGTCACATACGATTAAATGATGTACTAATATGACCAGACACTTTTAAAAAAGAAGATTAACATACGCCAAAATACACGTCACAAAAATAGTTTCTATGATACATGTATAGCACCGTACAGATATTATATGCAGTAGCACACTGTCAAACATTGCACACCATGACACCAATGACGTCATAATATGTACTGCACATAGAAACCATTGACTCAAACAACTAATTAAAGAGGAAGAGATTCACGTCTTGGCATTTACCTCACCCTTACTACACTAATACCACAGTATAGAAATAAACTGTTTACTTATGTACAGTGCTAATACTTTCAACGTCAGATACAGCGTAACAATGTTTTACGTGTTGCATATTTACATTGTGAAAATTTAGGGATTTTATTTGTTAGATGGTGTTGTGTCGTGACGCAGTGGCCAAGACGTTGCGTGATCTGTAGGCTGCAGGTGGAATATATGTGAAAGTGACGTCACGGCTAGTCCATATTATTATTTCTATGCATTACACCACACCAATGAAAAAGTGCTAAAATTGAAAATTGTTTTTTGTTGTAGTCTACATTTCCCTGGATAAATTTTAATGGAAAAAACGCCCGTTCAAAAATCCAAATGGCTAAATAAACAGGGTAATTTTTGCCTCTTATAAAATGTCAATATTGTTTCTCATGTTCATTAATTTTATAGGGATTTGCAAACAAAATAATGCTTTTGAGGAAGTGAAAGTCAGTTCTTCTCCAAAACACCAAGATATAGATAATGATAGTCCATTACAAATACCTTTGACTCAAGATGCATCGGAGAATGTTGACGTTGTTTGGGATTGGAATTCTCCCCAACAAAAACCGCATCCAAGAAAATCACAAAAAAGATTGATTTTACCACCATCTCCTAAGATCCCAATAAAAAGACATCCATCACATAATTCTATACAGAATTTTGAAAAATTACGAAGTGAACTGCAAGCACTTAGGGAGGAAATAGCAGTTCCAGAAAATGAAGACTTTCTTCGCTTATCCCCTGTTGAAGAAGCTGACTATAAAAACATTAGCAACACCAACTCACTGGAGGAAGAGTTCCAAAACGATAACTTTGAAGATTTATTCAATAGTCCTGTAAACACAGAGTTGATGAAATTTTGTGATAATGGAAATGAGATTGTTTCCAGTAATACAAATGTTAAACAAGATGGTGTGAAGTCTCCCTCTAGGTCCCCATTCAAGAAAGTTCAAAGAAATTCTGATATATCCAAAAATGCAAATGATTCATTTGAAGCTTTGCTTAGTGAAGTGGACATAGACCAGTTGACATATTCAAATGAAAAAGGATCTGAAAATTCAAAAAAGTGTGAGGAATCAAATTCTTTCGCATTTCAAAAATATAATCTTCATAAAAGTACTGGGAAAGTAGAGTTTTTCAGGACAAAAAGTTTTGAATTATCCAATGTAGAACATATCACAGGTATGAATCATTCTAGATAATTTCTATATACGTCTCGCAAACTGAAACACTTTTACTCGATGATGAATTACTAATCACATAAGATAAGATATTTATTGACCTTCAAAAATAACAAAAATGTTTACGAGATAAATTCACAACATAATTGTATAGGTACGTCAAGACAGATGTAGATATAAAAATGTGTATAAAATTTGTAAAACTAGGTAGAAATAGAAGTAGTGAATACACAGTAAAAATGACATAATCCTAGAAACTAGGCTTTGTGTAAGGTAGTACGTTAATTAGACAGAACTAAATATCAAGTCCATATATGGGAAAAAACATCTTCAATATTATAAAGTGGACTTACAAGAAGTGATTTTTTTCAAGTGGTGTTTCAATTTTTTTGCAGTGAATGTCTTCCAATCCACCGGTATAAGGTTATATAGTTTAATTGGTAGATAGTCAGTCTGCTTCATTGTTTTAGTGTAATTCACTCTAGGTAGTCTAAACAATTCTTTATTCCAGGTATTCTACGTATTAATTTCACTCCCCGTAGTGTTCGAATTTTTGTTTTGGTGTATCCACAAGATGGCTTCTGTGATATATATACATGAAAGTGTTAAAATTTGCATTTTGATGAACAATGGTTTGGCATGTTCCCTTGGTCCAGCCTTAGCCATAGTTCTAACAATTTTTTTTTATTTATTTGTAACTAGTTGCACGCTCAGCTAGTGCCCCATAATAGAATCCCATACATTAGGTGGCAATTAACCATACCGTAATATACAGTTTTCAGCACTTCAATTGATACTATTTCTCTGAGATTTCTAAATAAAAATTGACTTCTGGACATATATTTCTACAGCTTTGATTTGCTTGAACAGAGATTTGGAAATAGTTTCAATATACTTTTTTATATGAGATTTGAAGATTTGTAAAAATATTTCAAACATTTTTAATTTTCTTCTTCCTTTTCATAGTCAACATGTGATAAGTATCCAGTAAGAAGAAAGGCTATTCTCGCAAAATGGGCAAAAACTTTATTTCTACTCAAATAATTACAAACTTTTAAACTCATGCCGATTGAAAGAATCCCAATTTTTTTTCTGAAATAAAGATGTAGAAGTAGAAAGCTTTCCCAAAACCAAATCTTGTTATTTTATTCAATCGTCATAATGACTATTACCACAACTTGATAGTCTCCAATTCATACACCAATAACTTCGCTACTGGTTATCCCAATTCAAAACAGTAAAGGTTGATCTATATAGAATTAAAATACATTTCTATTTAGGTTTTTCATCAAATAGTACTAAAACTGGTTCGTTGCATACAAATTTTGTCCGACTTTAATATCTTGTTCGGTTCAAAAGTTAAGAGGAGGGACTATTTACCTCCAAATGAATATTTAATATTTATACAACTACAAAAAAAAACTATGTACTTATACTAAAAAACATAAACAGCATCCAAGTTCATTATTATTAAAAGTAATTAAAATTTATCTATTGCCTACCATGATGACTGGTATATCATTTCAGCAACTGAAATAATCAATTCCTACTACCTTGATTTTGTTAGTTGTTTTCCAACATGGATGAATATGTATTTTTTTGCCTCTTTTTGGTTTCATTACTTATTAATTCAATTATTTTTCCATATCTTACGAAAGAAGAATGATTTTAGGTATTCCTAAGGAACAGATGGATGATATTGAAAGGAAGAGAAGAGAGGCTTTAGCAAAGTTGAACTCAAAAAGAAAACAAGATCTAACAGTTATTTGTAAGATTCTTATATTTTGAAGGTTAAATTGTTATTAAAAAGTAACTCTTTTAGCTCCAACCAGCCAATGTTCTTTGGAAGAGATTGAAAATAAAAGACGACAAGCTCTTGCTAAATTAGAAGCTAAAAGAGAACAAGAAATCATAGAAAGAAAGCGCCAAGAAGCTTTAAAACGATTACAGAGTAGGAAGAGGAATGCTCCCAATGTGAAAAGTGTACTGACAAAGAGACTTGATTATGAGATCACTTGATTCAAAATAAAGTGTTATTTATATATTCATAAATCTTTATTATATTATTAATCATGAAAAATACATTTTTTTACTTTCTTTACATTTTCCTGGCAGTAGTACTTCGCAGCTGTGTGGACACTTGACAACAGCAATTCAACACCAGCATTAGGATGAGGGTATTATCTAATTCATCTAAAAAAAAAGTATATACTGAAAAATTGATTGAAAACTTGTATATCTACTCACGAAAAATTTTATAGCAAAAGAAAGAAAGTAATTTACATACATCAATGATATTTCTTCATAAAGATGTGTAGATAATGTTGTTTAATCATCGTTTTTTCGTTGTTTTTTTGGCAAAAAGTTTTAAATGTGTATGTACTTTTTCTTGTAATACAAATATTGTTATTGTTTCTACAACAATGCCGTTCAATGTCAAAATAATTTTCTCAGAGTTTCTTTGAACTGCACCATATTGAATTGCATTTTAAGTATTATGTTTATTGATAAGATTCTTGATCTTTCTGATAAACGTGTGTATATATATATATAAAGTGGATAATCTTGGCGGAGAAATGTACAATAAAATGGATTAACAGGGTCTCTCAGTCAAAAAATCAAACTCTGCTCTACTTTGCCAAGCTTTCGTTTCTATTGGGAAGCTTCTTCAGGGCCTATAATTTAATGAGTTGTGAATTTTTTCGCCATTGAATAACATTACAATTCATACTTACAGTAAAAATGAGTAAAAAACAATTGAACATATAAATTGACGAAAAAGTTAAAAATGTATAGGATTTTTGTGGGTTTGACAAATGTCATTTCTCAATGGGTATAATGATTTGATAATTTTTGACTCTAAAGAAAGAGTTATTGATTGATACAATTTTTATTATTATTATTATGTTTCTGATGTAGTTCCAGTAAGTTACTGTATATGCTGCTGAGATTATCAATGTCAGTTTTCTTGTTCATACAATCAGAAGACTTATTAATTTCAACCATTTCAAGAAAAAGGCGCTTTATATCACTTTTATGTGAAATTATTCTACACTTCAACTTCTCATCAGCATCTCTTTTGATAACCTGAAAGGCGATGCAGCGAAAGAGACACGTCTGCTCTTGCCAGAATAATAGTTCGCAAAAACACTCAAAGTTAGAGAGATTTCATTAAATTGAAAAAGGCACATTTTTTACGGAAAGACTAGTCATTATGATGACTTCTTCAAAGTTGAAATTTTTGGCTAGGATAAAGTGCATCGTCTTTCAAAGTTCTCAGAAAAGTGTAGATGAGTTGAAGATGAGTTTTTCATCCGAAACTTCAAAGTACACATCTATTCAAAAGAAGTTCTGTTGAATAAATTTTTTCAACAGTTTGTATCTAAGAAAACCTTCTGATTATTAGTTCCAGTTCTGGTGTTTGAGAACAGTGCTTGTTTTGGATTTATTCTACGCCAGAGGTTCCAGTTCTAACTTTTATTGAAAAGGTGTTACTTAAATGATTTAAAATGAAAAAGAAAAATGAATTAAATATTAAAAATTCAAGTACTTCAACGAATGTTCAGAGTACAAACTGAATGAGAAAATGTGATTTTCTTATGATTCAATGTTCATATTATGCAAGTATGTAGTAGTTGTTTGGAAAGAACTTTCCCCTCAAGTGTAATTCAATGATCGTGTAAAAGTAATTGGCTCAAAAGGGGTTTTTCTTCCAGTTTGAATTTAACAAAGTTTTTATTGAGTTGTTTTAGCTCTCCCTTTCTTTAGAATTTTCCTGACAAACTTTTTTGCAATTTGAAATAGAAATAAAATTGTAAATGAAGTTAACAACAATAAGTTAAATGTGATATGCATATATGTAGTAAAAATTAGGAGAAATGATTAAAAAATTGTAAAAAATAAGGGGATTTTATGATTTTCAGGAGATAACTGTTATTATCCTTATTTTTTGTTTGAATATCAAAATTTCACCGACTGTTTCAAGACATTTATTAACTCATTTCTATTTCAGGTCATAATAGTTGGTTTTTATAAAATCCTACTAATTATTTATTTCTTCACGCTTTTTAATAGTATTTATTGTATTAGTAACTCTTCCTTCTTTCGATAGTTGCCCACTTTTTGTAAAATATAATGAAGAGAAAAGCCTAAAGGTTGTTTCTCAAAAACGAATCCCTCTTGTGAAATATTTCGTTCTCAATTAGAGTAGCATTATTTTAGTTCTTATAAAATAAATGTTTCAAGTTGAAGAATTGTGAATATACAGGATATATACAAAATCATAAAAAATAAAAATTAACCTTGTTAACAATTGTAAACATTTGTCATTCTGCAAGCAGTTTTCTGATCACCATGAATTTATGTTTCTTTAATTAAAATTGAAAGGGGTATATTTTTAGGAGAAAATAATTTTTGGGAAAAGTTTTGGCTTTCTACTTCTTTTATATTTTTATACAAAAAATGTGGGAAAATGCAAAGAAGTAACTTTCACACACAAACTGGAAGAAAAAACAAGAAAAAAAATATACTTTCAAAACAACTACTTTTATATGAACATTAAATTATACAAAACACTTATTCCCGTTCAGTTCGTACTCCAGAAATTCGTTATGGAATTGAATCAGATATCATTCACAGGATTGCTACACAATATAGTATATGAAAGACATAAAATTTCACTTACACGGAAGACTGTCATCAATGTTCATATGAAAGTAGTTGTTTTGAAATTATTTTTTCTTCCAGTTTGTGTCTGAAATTCTTTGCATGATTTTTTTAGGGAGTTGACTTGGAGTATTTCCACATTTTTTTGTATAAAGATGGAGAAGTAGAAAGCCAAGAGCTTTCTTTCCCAAAAATTAACCTTTTCTAAAAATATACTTCTTTCAGTTTAAACAAGATTCCTATGGCTGTGATTAAATCAAAAAAGCAAATGAATGTCATTACATACTGTCATCGATGACACGAGTAGATTTAACTCATTTATAACATAACATCGTAATTCAATGAATGAATTGAGTGTTTCATCTTGTTATGTTATGGATAACATAACAAGATGTGTCTGAAAGTTACTTCTTTGCATGATCTACACATCTTTGTAAAGTTCCTTTGGAAATTGATTGCTTTCTTTCTTTCTTCATTTTTGTATTAATATGAAGAAGTAGAAACCCAAAACCTTTGTTCTTCAATGTTTTTTTTCTAAAGTAGTAGTTTTTTAACTTTGATATTGCATCTACTGATAACCAATTGAAGTAATGTATTTGTGATGGTACACAGACATAGCAAACAAGATTTACTCTGAAAATTCAAAAACAATGGCATTGCTACTCTTGTTGACATTTTATTAAGTGAAGACATTTTTATTGATTGGTATATATGTTTCATAATATTTTATATATGTAATTGTTAATTATTAAAAAAAATGCATCAATTAAAACAGAACTACTTTGGGATATATTTATAATTATGATAATCTCAAGAAAATATAGATTAGTAAAAGAACTCAGCATTTTATTGTCACTTTTTTTGTCTGATTGCATAAACTCATCTTCTCTTGAATTTTTACAGTACCTAATGAAAATGTGACTTTAAAATCTTCTTTACCAAATCCACAGCAAAGAGCAAAGAATAATGATATTTAAAATTAAAGTATCTAAAACTCGCCTGTAAATATTCTTCTAAAAAAAACGTCTCCCACTTCTTTTCCAGCAAAAAAATAAAAACTTGAAATAGCAGAAACCGCTAAGAGGGGTGCTGAAAGAAGGCAATTGATTCGCCTTTCCCAATGGTTGGTATGTTTGGATACATTTTTCCTAGACGGAGGCCAAAGAACCGATTCGATTATGATTCCTACGAAATTCAGTGCTGTCCAAATTAAAATATGTTTCTCTAAACCATGCCAAACATAGATGAAACAGAAACACAGTAAACTTGAAAGTGACTTATTCTTGAAGATTGTAATAGAAGGTATATAAATATGCCTGAAAAATTAAAGTTCACCATGACTTTATTCCTGACTTGTTTTAACCTTACCTTAATAAAAACGTGTATAAACCAGGATCAAAATATTTCCACATATCTGAATATAGATGAATTCTCCCAATACATCTCGGTAAATTAGGAACTTGAATGTTTTCAAATGATGCAATGCTGGTACTTAGACCATATAATACAACATACTTCAAATGAAAAAACTGTCCCATTGTATAACCATATCCATATAATGACCAACTGTCCAAACTTTCAATTAGCTAAATGAAGACAATATATTGTATAAATCAAATGCCGCTAATAAAATTACCTGTAATTGAAGTGAAGCTGCATTCACATAGATGAAATGCAGACAAACATTTCCGAAAACATACCAAAATAAAATTATCATTAGATTCTTAGCAAGTTTCCTAAACCCTTTAGGAGGACCTTTGACAAAATTTTCTTGAAAATCGCTATATAATATGAAAGGACCTGTAAATAATGTGGGTGTATATAAGCAGTATGAGAAAAACTCCAATGGATTGGATGAATTAGGCTTAACTAAAAAGAAACTTGTACATTTCAGGTTCAACCAAAACAAAGCCATAGTAAGGAGGTAGGACTCATATGTATTGAGACTGAGCAGCTCTTGAAAGTCTTCTTGTGTGTTCAGCGACTTGTAGACATTCAAAAGTGCTATCGAGGTACAAGAACAAATCCACGTGTAAATTGTTTCAGTTCGTAGACACATAACTGAATAAAAGAGTACCGGCTGTAGTAATAATAAGAATAAGGAAACATAGCCTAGTTGTAGCAATATAAAAATAATGGTGAATGAAATCTCCCAAATCTGCAGGACCTAAAAATATTTTTGTGTAGTTTAAGACACCTCAGTCATTAAAGAATTGATACCTCTTTGGACATGATGAAGCATCTGAAAAGTTGGGCAACCCCTACATATACAAGTATCCAAGGGAAAAAGTAGCTTAAAAGATAATTGATACTTTCCCATTCCAAATCTGATTTATCTCTCTTACTCCATAGAAATGTGATTCCTTCTGTGAAATCATTATATTCATCATTGTAATCCAGAAAATCTAAAGAAGGTAATGAGGTATGTACTGAAATAAAAATCTGATTTCAATGTAATATCTTACACTCTTTTGCCCTGCTTGAAAATTTGTAAATAGAAAAAAGCACAGAAATAATCCATATTATGAAATAAAAATATATTTCCACATTACACTTCATTATTACCACGGTGGCTACATATTAGTATTACATTTATAACATTACAATCAACTAATGATTGGGAATAGGTGAAAATACATTTCGTTTACCCCATCCGAGGATGAAGTAATGTTATTTTCTACTAAGCGTTGCCTTTGGTAATTCGGTAATTTAAGTTATTCTGACTCTGACTATTCTTTGGTAATCTGGTAATGTAATGTAAAGAGATTTTATATAATAATGTAATAGCAAATTTTCATAAGTACAACAATCTTTCAACCGTTAACAAATTTTTAAAGCGTCCAAAGATAGTATGGCATGACAGCAAAAAATATTATTTTCTCTCTCTCTCCCTATGTTTTTAGCTTTTGCTTCCATTCAGGCGCGTTAGGCCAAAAAAAGATTATTAATTTTGTGATTGTTTACCACGTATCTGTGGCTAGAGAAGCCGCCCACAGAACCCACAATTATGATTTCTTTTAAATTATATATCTCCTCGAATTATCACATTTCTTGACAAAATAATTCATCGTTATACAACATATTTGTGAACGATTCGAATAATAATAATAATATTATTTTATATTATAAAAATGAAACCTATTAAGAAAGGTAAACATAATTGGAAATATGGCATCATAGCAGAATTGTTCCTGGCGTTACTTCAATCTGTGCTTCAGTAACAAAATGTTACTTTTTGACGTTCAAAATTACCAAGTTTCGTTTTTAACTCAGAGGTTTTTAACCATTTTTTTACATTTTGTGAAACTTTCAACTGACAGTTCACGCACCAGAATTGACAATTGAGACATCAAAACTTACAGATGAGATATAACGTATCAAAATCGACAAACGGAGCAGAGTTACCATATAGGGGGATTGGAGAACATTTTCAAAAATCTCCTTAAACTTTTGACGATGAAACAGCTAATGTAGCCAACCTCTCGGCTGCGCTTTGCTTGCAACTCATTCAAAAATTACAATTTTCTAGTAATGTAACTTTTATGAAATATATTGTAATATTTTTTGATCAGGAATGCTACTGTATAATAGCATAATTCACACCAGGTCCACAATTCTTGATTTCAGTAGAAAGAAGTATCCCCTTCATTTTCTACTTCCTCGTTTTTCTATCACTGAAAAAACATTATTATCCAAACGTGGGAGTGGACAATCGTATGAAAATATTGCCAAACTTCATTATAACTTTTCTATCAATCCAAATGCTTGGAATTATGATGTGACTGTTTTCACTTGACGTGAAGTGAAATAAAATGCAAAACATACTGAAACATAAATTTCTATAGACTTTCCGATATTATATACTGGGAAATTCACAACAGGTTATACTCGTTGTGATGCAAAAGCTTTGTGGGGTGAACCCAAGAAGGCTAAACTCCAGTCAGCTCTAGCCAATTAAGGCGAAGTAGAATTTAGAGACGTAGGCGAGCATGACCCAAATAATGAGAACTAACCATGACATAATTTCTCTCGATGTTGTTGACGTTTGCTTGTAAAAGTTTATTTCATCAGCAGTGGTGATGACTAGTAATTTTTGTTTTTTTTTCGAAGTATCATAACCTGCATAACCCATATGAATGTAATGTTTTGGATTCAGAAGCGTAATCGTTGCAAGAGGAAAAATGAATCACATCAAACAATCTCAATGACAGTACTGATTTGTCCAACTTCATATAGAGTTAATATTCAGTAAAAATATACCTCATTAGCTCACCTGAGGATACTTTTGTATATTTTCATTGAAAGTAAACATAGGACACGAAAATATAATTAACATTGAACAGATTATTTACAATTTCTGAAACTACAACAAGTAGAATTACTTGTTATCGCTCGAATATGGATCAGATTTCTATGCCCATGATTTGTACAAAATCAATATATGAGCGTAATCTAGACCTGTAATATACAACTGAAAAAGTGACCCAAGATCAATAATAACTGAAATAAACATAGTTGGAACTCCCGAACAGCATTTGCGTTCCAACACTATTAAGCAGATATCGCCGTCCTCGTTTACTAAGGCTTGTCCTTTAAAGACAGTTAAGTCCAGCAATGAATTTTTGGTTCAGAGTATAAAAAATTAATTATATGTGTCAAAGCAGTCAACTTTATTAATTTTTTCCACCCTGTAAACTTATTTTGCAAGCAATTATTTCAGAGTGGTTTCTTTCTACTATTGTTATTTCATGATTCTCTATATATTTCCCTTGCTAAATTTTTTGCAGAGTATATGAGAAATTGAATAAAATAGGGAAGAAATCAGTCAACATAGTAAACATAATCACTGACAATGAATTTGGTTTTGCTCGTTCCACCTGTTCATCTTGATAAGTATGCACACATTAACATAAAATGTTCAATAAATGATATTATTTAGGAGTGAATTTTCGCTCTGCACTCTTTGAAGGGGGATATACAAAAAGCTATCTGTAAAATTTCAGAAGTTTATAAATGACTTAAAGAGTATCGAACGCCACTGAACGTTCGGAAGTAGTCGGTAATTTTGGGAGCTTACATTAGCAGCCAATTTCACACTGCTCTTACTGTCAATATTAAGTTTTTTTTCATATATTTAATATATTACCTATTAGTTTTTCGGGAGTCAAATAAACTAAGGCGTTTTGAAGAAAAACCATTTTTATAATTTAAAAAAAATCATATCATGATAGAAGTGATAGCCAAACTTCCTCACGGCCATGTATTCCTTTCTGGAGAAATAGTAGAATGCAGTATAACTTTCATTCATCCACCTTCTCCTAATCATATGGTGTCTCAGAGTTTTACGGACGCATTTGAGACTTTAGCATGGGCTTCAGCCCAAATCTTGTGTCAGTGTTCTACAGATTCAAAAGTGACTCATGAAAAAGAAAAGTTGAGCCCCACTTTTGCTGACACTTCCTTAGGTACAGGCCTTCATGAAAATGGGACTTCTGAGATTGCTACTAGACCCAAAATACTGTTTTGTGATTTGAGGCTGTCTCCAGGACAGTCAAAAACATGTAAATTTCAATTGGAATATGCAAAGACAGTGTAATAACCTTCTGGTTTCAGTTATTTATAGAGAAAAAATTCCAAGTGATTCTCCTCCTTCTTACAGAGGACAACTTGTAAAATATTCATATAAAATTGCCATAGGAACTCAACGTGTAAATAGTCCAGTGAAATTGTTGAGGATACCCATCAGAGTTTTACCCCTCTGTGAGGCTCTATTGAGTGAAGCCAGTGATCTTTGTAATGAAACAACAGAGGAATTAACCCCAGCTAATCCTTTCTTAGAAATCAGACAAAAGGAAAAACCTCTTGATTTAGCTCTACAGAGCCTGCAAGTGAGTAATCATATCTTTAGATTTACTTAAACCTTCCCTGATATATTGTAGTACAAAATTTTATGAACTTTTTTAATATAAGGTATGTTCCAATTATCTGAAGTCTCATTGGATCACATGGTAGAGATAAACCAAGTGATATGTGGATAAGTCCGTCTTTCGAATACCAATTGTTTTTGTGTAACAAAATATTGTCAAAGTGGCTTGTTAAGTTTCTTGCTCCGATTCATGAGTCCGTGTTTTTCCATTTTTCTATTGATAGTCAGAAATGCAAGTCCCTACTAGGAAACAGTACTGATGCTGTCAAATCTATTGTGAAATGTGTTGAACATTAGATAGAGGATGGAGAAGAAATGCAAATGCAATGTACTACACCTGAAACTCTTAAGCCTGCTGTAAAAAAAAATCAGAATGGAAATTTCAGAAGCGAAAAGTATCATTTGTCTAGCAGTCATGATGTGCAGATCAAGAAACCACACAACAAAAGAACCTTCCACAGAGAAACTATCTTCTACAACTGAACAAGATGCAAGTATAAAATGAATATTTTGTCAATCTTGCAATAAGAAATTCAAAACTACAAAAGGTTTGAGAATTCAACGTTTTCTTCTTCCATTCATACCTGTGCACCGAGTCTGAATGTTGAATCCAATTTTGGTTCAAGTTCTACCTAAGCTATCAATGATATACTTTCTCTATACAAATCTCATTCTCATATATTGAAGAGAATTTCCAAAGGAGCAAGAATGTGTGCCACAGAAGCTTTGAGCAAAGATATTGATGAATGCATTAAGACCAAGTCGTTAGAATACTTTAAGTATTTGCTTTGTTTTGCTTATGGATGCTTTTGTCTTCCACCATGTAAATAAAATCTTGAAGTCTCACACGTCACTTATCAAGAATAACAATTCGAATACCTGTCCTGAAAGGTTAATTCACAAATTCAAGAGCTGATCTAAAAAAGAAACAAATTTCTCAAAATCTACATCGAATTAAGTTTCAGATGGCAATCTCACTTCGGAAATCTGTATTTTGATGATCTTACCTTAACTGAACTTCGAGCTAAACATCCCGCTAACGTCTGTCAAAAACCAATACCTGACACAAACTGTAATCCACACCAAGTTGACAAAAAATAAGTCTTGAAAGCAATCAAATAATTTAACACAGGTTCAGCAGGAGGAATAGACTCCCTCAGACCTTCCCATTTACAAGACTTGATATCAAAAACTTCTGGTCGTAAAGATGAAAAGCTTCTGTCTTCTTTCACATTCTCGTGTAACTTTAGCTGACCGATCAACTGAATCTCGTATTTGTCATATAAAATGGTGGAATTCGCCACCATTTTTCGTCGCCTTGTGGCCAAATTGTCATCTATAGATGTTTCTGTTTTTTTAGGAAATCTATTTCGTCCTGTTCAATTAGGATTTGGAATTCCAGGGGAATGTGAAGCAGTTGCACATGCTACATCTCTTCGAAAATAAGCATCCCAATCCATCTAATCACATTATTGTTAAACCTGATTATGAAAACCCTTTCAACATGATTCACAGAAACATAATTTTATGAAAAACCCTCAAAATTATTCCTCGCCTTTTTCCTTTTATCAACCAATGTTATCAATATTCAACATTGTTGAATTTTGATAACATTGGTTTGAACTATGGAAAAATACTATCTTATCTCATACAGAGGTTCAGTAAGGTGATCCTCTAGTCCCTGCTCTTTTCTGTCTCACTTTGAATGCACTGACAAAGTCTATCAACATCAATTTCAATTGTTGGTACTTAGACGATGGTTCAATTGGTGAACTTTCGAAAAAATACTATCTTATCGCATACAGAGGTCCAGCAAGGTGATACTCTAGTCCCTGTTTTCTGTTTTGTGTTTTTCTCTACTAATTAAAATCGTCTCCAAAACACACTGGTCTTTATTGGGAGCTCCTCTGTATGTAGAGTCTTAATCATATTGTCTCACATAGAAAACATAGTCTTTAATTCTATTGTCATCTCATCTCAATAGTCTTCCTTCCCATATAGCATATTGTCTCTTGAGATACAGAGTAGATAGATAGGTAGATATATTTATTTGATCAAATAATACTGAATATAAATACTTAACATTCTCTCCTGCAGTAATTAATTAGAATGAAAGAAAATGACTTCAAATCTGATCATTCTCAGAAGACTCCTCTTTGAATACATTTAGTATACAAAGTGGGGATACGGCTCACTTGAATGTTGTTCCAGAAGCTATAACATCAACTACTCTGATTTTGCCATTCTTCCTTTTAGCCAATTGTTCCACGAACTATTGGGATAATAAAACAGGACAATATCCTGATGCCATTTATCTCGTTTTGCTAAAGATAGTGGATAGTCTTTAGCCTACCTTTACCAGAATAAATCCGCGAGCTGCCTTCCATTTGTTCAGTTAACACAAATCCTTCTCATCAGTTTCAGCACAAGGTAACATTAAATAATGAGTTCCAATCCAGAAATGATAGGGATTTAGAGCCTCCATATCATCTGGATCATGTACATGGGTACATGGGTAAGTTATCTCGAGTTCAAAATATTTTCCACTTCTGCAAACACTGTCCTCAAAACATATTGCTGAGAATATGTATATATATTGTTTACTGCAGCTATTTTTATCAAGTACTTTCTTGGTTTTTCTCATTTTGTCTTCAATCGAGGACCGCCTGCCCGGTACTGACGATGCCCAATAGGCTGAAACAGCTAAGAGGAGATATCAATAATTTGAGGAAGCTGAACTCATTATGCAAAGGTTTTATAATAAATCAACAGTAGGCTGTGATTTTGACAGTTAATCATAAGGTCAAATTTATTGGTGTAAGGCCAATAAATTTGCCTTACACCAATCTAAAAGTTTGGAAATATCAGAGCAAATGGCATTATATAGATCATTTGTGTTGGTATTGCGCTATAATATTGTAGTGTCGTCTGCGAATAAAGTGAATTTTCCCTCTATATCTATGGTAGCCAAGTCATCGATATAGAGTGGAAACAGGATAGGTCCGAGTACTGAGCCTTGTGGTACTCCGTTAGATATGTCAGTAACATCAGATACTGTTGTATATTTGATCCTTTGACTTCTACCCGATAGATAAGATGCAAACCATTTATGAGTAATACCCTCAATACCATAGAGATAAAGTTTCCTGAGCAGAATTTCGTGATCAACACAATCAAATGCTTTACAGAAATCGCAAAAGACTGCTGCTGTAATCTCCCGTCTATTATTGTTACTATACACTTCATATAAAAGTGGAAATATGGCATCATGAGTATTTTTGTTTGACTGAAATCCAAATTGTTTTGAGCTTATTATATTACCGAAGTTCAAATGTTCTGTTGAACGTACATTACATGTATTACATTACATGTAATTATATGTTTATTGGTATATTACTAAAACGGCAAATGTGTCTCTTTTGAAAAAAAGAAAAAAATCCCTTTTTAGTGCAGACCCTCTTATAATATCTTGTTTCATTAAAAATATTTGAAATACGCATCGAGTCGGACAAGTGCTGAGCTTATGTAACATTGCTAACCTAACTGAAATGCCACGTAAAATAAAGTTACCAACATGCTAGGCGCTTATCTTAGAATTACATTTATTATAGTTCAAGTAAACGATATAGCGTAACCTCAAAAACACTTCACTAACTTTCTTCGAAAGCTTCTGATAATTTTTCTTCCATATTCTCTGTTTCACTATCACTGTCGTCATTTGAATAAAAAAATGAATTCATTTCCACCATTAATATGGAAGTGTCCAATCTACATATAGTCTTTTTCAACTAAAATTACTTTTTCAATCCTTTTCTACCAGTCTTCTTCGGTAATATTAGATACTTCTTCTTCAATTAGTTCTATTACCTTCTTATCAAATTTTGGAAAATTATTTTTATCTCTTTGCATTCCTCTGTATACAATTATCTGTGCTGATTTGTCTTCTTTTCAGTCATTCACCCTGAAAAACATTTCTTTGTTGTCTACTGAAAAAGCATATATTTTCATTTCTTTTGATTCTCAATCATCTTCGTGCATTTTTCTTTTCATACAAACGAGTTTTTTTTAAAGGCATTTTTCTTACTTTCCGGTAAATGATGATTATTCTTTTTCCAAAGCAGTCCTGTTTCAAACTTGTCATCTATTCTTCACATTGTAGAATCCATGATTTCTTGAGCTCTAATGTCTTCCCTGGATGTCTTGAAGTAGGAAATGATCCTATTTTCCTTTGTTTTTTAACCAGGCCATGGAGAATGTCTAATTCATCTTTTTCTTTCCAATCCACAAAACAAACGAATTTTTTCGTATCATCGTTATTATGATGTAAATTACCGTGAACTACCCAACCTAACGATGTTTTCGGAAGAGCGGGTCCATGCCAAGGCCCCGAAATTATTTTCTTGTTTAGCAACAATGGCCTATTGTCTTGACCGATCAAAATTTAAGGATGTACATTAATCATAGATTGTATTTTGTTGTCAATATAAGGATATTTAAAAGAAATCTGATCAAATCTGATCTACAATTTTTCAAATCATGAAAAAGTGTCACACAAAAAAAAAATTCTATTCTTTGTTAAATGATCATCTTTCATCAACGGAAAACGACTTAGAAATCAATCCTCTTCTAAAGAACTAATGATGAAAATCTAGAAAAAAATGAGTTAAAAAAAGTTTGACGTACTTCTGAAATTGAAGAGACAAAAATTAGCCCTAGAAAAAAACACTGAATTAAAGAAAAATATATTTTATGATTGTTCGAAGCTGTCTAGTACGGAGTTGAGATGCATGACTTTGAAAAAAAAAAATTAATATTTTTATGCGATGAATGTGAGCAGGGTTTTAGAATCCTGCCGGTGCTCTTAAATAAGATTGATAACTTGGTAGCAAGAATTGGTGAGCTGAAAGAAAGCCAAATTGAAACTCAAATTATTAGTGAACAAATAAACTCAAGTGTTCAGTT